TTCTTGATTCTACTCCTGGCATGGTTCACCACACACTATCTGGTCCTGTGACAGGTGCTTAATAAAGCCTGTTTGAGGAAAAAAAAAAAAAAAAGCCTGCTTGACTGAATGAACCAATGAATAAACAAGTACTTGAGGTCTGCGCCTCCCGAACACTCGTGTCTGAAAAACCGCTGCTGCCCCTCCACCCACCTGGGTGGCCAGAGGGAGGAATTTACAGGCTCCCACGGCACCTTGAGAGCCCACCCTGTTTCCTACAGCCTGTCGTCCCTGAAGGGGAGCAGAATTTACCACCCCCAAATGCCTCTTTGGCATAAGGATTATTTTAGGTAGCCTTTTTTTTTTTTAGGATTTTATTTATTTATTTGAGAGAAAGAGCACAAGAGTGGGGTGAGGGGCAGAGGGAGAAGCAGACACCCCACTGAGCAAGGAGCCCCACGCCCCCGGCTGCATCCCCTGGGACACTGTGATCCTGGCCCGAGCCAGAGGCCGATGTTTAACCCACTGAGCCACCCAGGCACCCCCTCGGCTACTTATTTTTTTAAAACGGCAGACGCGGGAGAAGCTCTGGAAACACAGAAGTTACATTTATAAGGGAAACCTTTATCTGCACGGGTGTCTCTTTCTGTACTAGGAAGACAAGGATGACGTAAATCTCCAGAAACTCTCATCAGTGGAGAAGGCAGGGACCTCAATATACATAACAATCACCCCCTTATTTACAGGGCTTGGCCTGAAAACCCCCCATAACTGGCTCCCCACCCCCAATATCTTCTTTTGTCTTTAGCTGGGGATGGTATTTAAGGTGGTGGCTCAGGCTGTTAGGGAGTTACTCCGTCCTCCTGAGCTTCTCCCATGTTTACAGGAAGTATACTTGTTACTGAACTTATGTTTGCTTTTCTCCAGTTAATCTTTTATGATGGCTTGGTCACAGCCAAGAACTTAGAAAGGTAGAGGGGGGTCACCTGGGTGTCTCGGTCAGTTAAGCATGTGACTCTTGGTTTTGGTTTTGACTCCGGTCACGATCTCAGGTCCTGGGGCCCAGCCCCACATAGGGCTCCACACTCATGATGGTCAGGGAGTCTGCTTGAGGTCCTCTCTCTTCCTTTCCCTCTGCTCCTCCCCCCACCCATGCTCTCTCTTAAATAGATAAATAAATCTTAAGAAAGAAAGAAAGAAGGCAGGAAGGAAGGGGGAAAAAAAAAGTGTAGGGATGCCTGGGTGACTACATTGGTTCACGCTCAGTGGGAAGCCTGGTTCTCCCTCTCCCTCTGCTTGCTGCTCCCCCTGCTTGTGCACTTGCTCTCTCTCGCTCTCTCTCTCTCTGTCAAATTAATTAATTAATTAATTAATTAAAAAAGAAGGATAGAGGGAAAATTATTTTTCCTTCCTTACATCACCAACTGTTTCTAGAGCTCGGTTGTGCTGCTTCTCCCCACCCTTCTCCCTTACCACTGCAGTGACCCTCCATATCCTATCCTCAGGTGCTCCTGCCCAAGGATTGTCATCAAACCACAACTATAGGCCCTACCTGCAACCCACCCCCACCACCACGGCCACCAAAGATGTTAGAAGTCACGGTCACCCCACTCTCCCTCCTCAATCGTAGGAACCCCTCAGGCTCTGGGACCCTTCTGCTTCAGCCTCTCTCCCATCACATTCTGTCCCCTGCTGGGTGATAGAAGACGGCCAGACACGAACCCTCAAGGCAAGCACAAGGTAGAGTTCAGTAATTCCTTGACCAGAGAATGGGAAGAGGACACACAGGATGTTGCCATCTGATCTAAGACAGTTTGTCAATTTGGCAACCATCAGTTATCTTGATGCGTTTGGGAGGTTGTGTGTCCCTGGTTTTACAACCTCACTAACAGGTGGTAGGTTAGAGTGAAAGCAAGCATTACACCAAAGGGTGCCGATCATGTAATATTTATTAGCAAGGAAATACAAAGGCAGACTTTCTTGTAGTTTGGGGGACAGGTGATCTCCCTTAGCTCTCTCATGAAAGGGTCATTTAGAAGCTGATACGTGTTCCAATGGCAGGCCCAACCCCCACAGCTGGAAGAGGTGACCGAGTGGACCCTCATGCAACCGTAGACTCAAAACCTCCAGCATGACTCCGCGACGTGTGGCTACAGAAGTCGTGGGCCTCCCCACCTTCCTAGCCAACTGTCTTAACCATCTCTGGAGTGATGACCCCACCACGTGTACTTCAGGTGCTAAGAAACCCTGCTAACGGTGTAAAATTCATACGTTTCTACATGTGATGTGATTTACAATAAGAAATATATATTTGGTCTTCATCTCCATTTCTGACAAAGAGTTCCTAAAACCATTGGCATGTCCTAAGTGATGACTATCACAAAGGTGTCCTTTGTCATGTTGTTGGGTAGCTATGGGGCAGCACCTAAGGATTGGAGTTGGAGGTTGAATCAATTGCCAATGGCCAATGGTTTAATCAATCCCAACTATGTCATGAAGCCTCCATAAAAACCCAAAAGGATGGGATTCTCAGAGTTTTCTGGGTTGATGAACACGTGCTAAGCTGGGGAAAGGAGAGTGGTGCCCTCAAAGAGAAAGTACAAACTCCACACCCCTCTGCCTGTGGCTTACCCTACCCATCTCTTCCATCTGGCTGTTCTGGGGTTGTGTCCTTTTATAATAAACTGGTCATTTAGGAAGTAAGCAGGTTTCCTGAGTTCTGTGAGCCACTCTCACAAATTAATCAAACCTAAAGGGGGAGGCATGGGAACCTCCAGTCTGTAAGCAGTAGGTCGGAAGCACAGGAAATAATCTGGACTTGAGATGGCGTCTGAAGTGTGAGGCGCGGCCTCACAGGACTGAGCCCTTCACCTGTGGAGTCTGATAGCATCTCTGTGTAGATAGTATCACGGAATTGCTTGTTTGAGTGGTGAAACCACCCCTCCGCACACATTAGAATTAGTCCAGAACTTCTAAGATGGAAATCTTTTTAAAGTAAATCACTGTGCAGGCCTCCTGGGGGACTCAGTTGTCTAACTTTGGCTCAGGTCCTGGTCTCAGGGCCCTGGGACCAAGGCCCTGCCTTCACATCCTGTTCCTTGCTCAGCGGGAGGTCTGCTTGTCCCTTTCCCTCTGCCTCTGCTCCCTCCCTCTCTCTCTCTCTCTGTGTCAAATAAATAAAATATTTTTTAAATAAATAAAGTAAATCGACATGCAATCCCAGTAACACACACACACACACACACACACACACACACAGAGCTAAACGCACAGGGGCCAGAAATTCCGTCAAGGTCTTTTTGGCTAGGTCTCCTTAGGCCCCAACCTCTTTACAGCAGGAAGAGGAGAGCAGGGATTCCTTTACACATTCTTCAAGCACAAAAACAGGACTGCGGCTTAAAATTGGGCTTCATTTTTCTTGTGAGCCCCAGACCTGCAATTTTTGTCTGTCCCACCAGAGAGCAACCTTTCTGCATTTATGCTCCTACTTGGCAAAGCCCCTGAGTCATCTCCGCAGGCTCGCTCATCCCCCAAGTCTGAGCAGAACCAACTCTTGAAGCTTTCATGACCCAAATACATGCCCCAGACTCTGCAAGTGTTACCCTACTTTAAAACCCTCTAGATAGATAGTTTTGAAAAGCCAACACGATGACTCACTGAAGGAAGGCTTGAGGCTCGGTTAAGAACATTCTTTGACCTCTAGCGATAAAACCTGACCCAAGGGACACTGAGTTGAGCTTTCTCTCCTCCCTCATCCCCTCGATGCAGCTGTGGGTCCAAAGTTGCCCCATGCGGGTTCTGGGAAGAGAGAACTTTTGCAGGGGTGAAGGACCTGTAGGAGGCCACCTCTGGCTCCATGATGCTGTCTCTACATTGCCTCGGGACAGTGGAGTATCCGTTTAAGGGGATGGCCAGGTTCCGCACTAGCTCCACACTGGGTTGAACTAAGGAATCTGAGGATTTCTCAGGCTGTTCCTTTAGGATACAGAACACCCCTTGGGATCCCTGGTCTGTGATAGTTGGCACATCAGCTAAATAAAAGACACTCACACACCTCATTTCAGAGCCTTCCAAATTCTGTGGACTGCTAGACCAACCCTGCAAGGTCTAGTATGGGTTGCATGGCAGAGAAATCTGAAACAAATGTTTTCCCTTTAAAATAACTAAGATAGCCAGTTAACACTGAAGCTAGCAGCTCCCTTCCTGGTTTTTGCGGGAACTTCCCCAATCACACCCCATCCTGGCAAGACCAAGTTTTGTTCGCTTGTCCGCAGCCCTGCTACACAATAAACACTGTATATAGGTCACCCTCTCCTCCTGTGGCCTGTTACAGGACCCCTGCTCGACATTTGCAGACAGAGAAATGGTGCGGCTCTATGGATTCGTCCTCCTCTGGGGCTGGGTCCTTGCACAGCCCTGCCTCCCACCCCCACCTCCCGCCCCTCTCTAAGTAGAGTCAGATTCAGGGATTGACATCTCTTAGGCTCATCCTCGAAATACGGACAAGCCATTCAGGGTACGTTTTTCCTTTATCTGAAGTTAGTCTGTGAAAGACTGTGAGTACTAGAAACCATCTTCCAAATTTGTTCATTTATTTTTTTTAAAGATTTTATTTATTTATTTGACAGAGAGAGAAAGATCACAAGTAGGCAGAGAGGCAGGCAGAGAGAGAGGGGGAAGCAGGCTCCCTCCTGAGCAGAGAGCCTGATGCAGGGCTCGATCCCAGGACCTGAGATCATGACCTGAGCCGAAGGCAGAGGCTTAACCCACTGAGCCACCCAGGCGCCCCTTGTTCATTTATTTTTAAATTACTAAATAAATCTTCCAATACCAATTATTTGAAACACTGACTAAGGCACTTTTGGGAAAATCAATACATGTACAAAATAAAGATGCTTCTATTAATATATGATACATGTGTGTATGCATATCATGTAGGCGTGTATGATGTAGCTGGAAGAGTCAGGAAGAGAACCACTCCCCGCCCCCGCCAAGCAGTGAAACAAATACAATACTCTGGGTCATATTTGAAAATCCTTTATTGTTGGGGAGTAGAGAGAGACGTCATATTTTTGATGGAGGACACTCCAGAAACCCCAGGGGAATCTATAGTCAATGCCCACGGGGACTGAGGGTGCTCAGTCTGTGGTTTCTACATCACTGTGGGGTAGAGGGATGGGGAAGGAGTCCAAGTGCAGGGGTGTTACAAGGCTGGAGAAAAGAAAGGGAAATCGGAGCACGTGCAGGTGGGGGCTGGGAGGGGGTGACAGGTGTCTTCATGTTGCAGCCCAGGGGTCCAGAAGTGGAGTGCTGGGGACATGAAAATCTGAAATCACATCTTCTGTCTTGTAAAACTCACACCGGCCACCAGCTGGGGAAGTAGGGATGTGGGGGGGGGGAGTATGTAAGGGAGGAAGAGAGAGAATAGAAGTCTTAGCCCTCAGCTCTCTGTGTAGCCTTTGAACTAGAGGACCAAATCCTTCTAGCCACAGGAGCGTGCCCCTTTCTGGTCGCATGCTTACCATGCTACTTGCAAACACCTGAAGGACGGTGTAGTGACAGGGTCCCTATCTGTCGTCCTCGCATCCCCATGATTCAGGCCCACACAAAGCCCCATTCATTGTGTCCCGATGCTAATGCTCCCCCAGGTTCACCCATGCCCTCCTCCTCTTTCTAGAAACCTCCCAGAGGAAGCTCAGGCCCAGGGATAACATCCTTTGTCAACAGATTCACATGAATGAAATAAGATGACCCAATGAACTGTGTTGATCCATCTCATCTAATCTCCTTTAAATGCCAGCCCCCAGGGACTGTATGTGCTGTTCTTCCCGGCTCCTAACAGGTTGAATGCTCCATCAGTGGTGAGATGACGAAGGCTACAATTATGCGACTGGCCCTTCTGAAAGAGCCTGGATTCACCGGCGAACATTAAAAGTAGATTTCCACAATGCACTTGTTTCCACCATTTGTATAAAATACTATGGCAAAATTGCACTGTAATTATCTTTATGGCCGATGCATAGCGCTGGGGGAAAGTATGTCATCCAGATAGAGCTGCCCGTATAATTATCTGGCGGTCGGCAGGACTGAAATAACCATCTAATGAGAGCAAAATGATACGGTAAGGACCATGTAATCAGCGAGTTACGGTCATTACGGCTCTTTGTGCCCTCTCACCCAGCACTGAATGGGGGGCTAGACCTAGTCTCCGGGCCCAAGGAGCCCTGCACAGGCAGCTTCATCAAGAGCCATCGAGAGCTCTTGCTCCTTTGGTCTCCCCTGAGAGCAATGACCGTGGGTAACAGAGACACAGGGAGAGGGGCAGGAGTCTCTCTGTGGGAACATAGGCTTTCCAATCCCTCTCTTTTTCTCCCCCCACACCTTCTTTCTTCAGAAGGTAGTGCAAAGAAAGCCATCCCTCAGGCTGCTATTGCTATGTGGGGGAAGATGGGGTTGAGAAGGAAATTTCCATGTTTTGACTAGACATTCCGCTGGGGACTCTCATGCTCACATAGCAAGTGAGAGATCTGTGAGCCCACTCAAGCCCAGGATCCAGCCCAGACAGCTCTAGAGCAGATAGACCAGAGTCAGCCAGGAGGGACACTGGGACATGACCCATACCTCCCAGACCACAATCGTCATAACACACGACACTGTGTACGCTGTGCCAGGCACTGTTTCGAACATTTTACCTATGCCCAATCCTCAAAACCACAACCCTGCAAAATAATATTATCACCCCCGTTTTTCAGATGAGGAAACTGAGGCACAGAACAGTTATGTAACTTCGCCAAGGGGACACAGCCAGTGAGCTACAGATCCAGGAGTCAAACGCAGGCTGTGCTCTTAGCCATTACACCACACAGAGCAACTCAGATACGGTTTCTAGTTACTCCCCCTAAAATTTCAGAGTTCGTTGCATTTCTTCCTAAATCACCCTTGTGAAGAATTACACAGCAGACCCCATCAAGATCTGAATGGCTTGTGCCTACCTAGGAGGCAGAACACTTCACCCGGGAGTTGGCTGTGGTGCCTGCAATTATCAGGTGACGGTCTCTCCGTCGTGTATACAGATAATGAGAGAACGGAACCCGAACAACCGAAGTTGACCATCGGAGAAGCCACAAGGAAAACCTCTCGCTCCCCATGTCCCACGACTCACGCCTGCTCGAGCGTCAGCCAGGGTCCATGATACTGGGGCAAGAGAGGGCAAGTGGGGCAGGTGTGCGTGCATGTGTGTGCGTGTGTGTGTACATGTTCTTCAGACGAGCATGCCCCCTGAGTGACAGTGTGTTTGACAGTGTGCTGGGCACTAACAGTGCATTTTAGGGCAAAATTATGAGTATTAATGCCTGTTGCGTCAGAGGAAATGCCTCTCTGGGCAACCCCCCCAACCCCCCCCCCACACACAGAGTCCCCTCTCCTCTCCTGACCAACAATCCTTACCTCATTCCACACTGGGGGGATACTTGAGGGTACCAAAGCTGGGAACATTCTCTTGGTTTACATCAGTAGAAGTGTCTGGGTTAAAGTAAATAGTGTAGTTAGGAGGGATTTTTCTGAATGTGACCTTCACCCTCACCCAAAAGCAAAGCACTAGCCACTAAGGGTAGTGTTGGAAGATAGAGTTGGAAAGAAGAGGTACACTGTGTTTGGAAGATGGGGAGGAAGGACAGCCCCCTCTCCAACTCCTTCCCGGCTGCAGCAGGACTAGCTTATAAAGGTCTCCCCACTGTGTTCCCAGGGAGATCTGGACTGTGTATCCAACCTGATTGGGTAGAAGGGCCAAGGAACCCTCACTATAGCTAAGAGAAATCCTGTCTTTCCCTCAGGTGACATAAATATGAGGCCCTTGACTTTTGCCATATCTTTACTAGTACCCTAAGCCCTCCCACTGTAGCTCCACCCACACCTACCTGGTTGGATGTTCCTCTTGCCCATAAGTCCCACAAAGAAGTCATGCATGTCACCTGTAGAGAAAGGGCCAACATTGCCAACAGTGATCATGGGGTAAGTGGGGAATGGGGATGCGTTCCCCCAGACATGTATCAAGACTTCTGCAATTGGGTTTCTGGTCTTTGGTTCTTTATCATGCCACAGCATGAATCCCTCATTATCAAGGTATCCCCTAAGCACCCTCTCTGCCCACCTCTCCCTCCTCCACATTTCAAGAATTCTCTGCCCCCACAGATGCCTGGTTTAGAGTCTTCACAGCCACCACGAGATTCTCTTGGTGCCCAATGACCAGCTGATGGAGGGAGAGTCCATCACTCTCCTCACACCTGTTTCCTCCGGTTCCCAGTGACCTCTCACACCCAGGAAAGGCTGGTCGAGCAGTTCCAGCCATCATATTGTTTGGGCCAGCTGAGATGGGGCCAGCCAGAGTAGTCACTGGGACCCATGCCTATGGAGCTGTAGCAAGTGGTCAGCAAAGACAGGGAGGGAGAAGACACTACTCACGTTTCTGGGGAAGTGACGATTCCTTAGGGTCTGTGAAGGCAAGAACAGTGAGTTGGTGGGGAATGGAATCTGGAAAGTGACAGAGGGGGTTCAGAGCACAACCCTCAATTACTCGTCAAGCTATCTCCAGTCTCCGTCCCACCCGAAGTCTCCTCCCAAGCCTCCTTAATCATCAGAATCCTGCCCCCAACCCCCTCTCCCCAGGGCTGCTTCCTACCCACGCTAGCCTTGCTAAGCATTTTGAGCAATCCATCCAGAGAGACAGAGCGGCTGTCATAGAGTTTCCGGAGCAAGGACGAAGGCAAGTGGTAGAGGTCCAAGTCCTTCTAAGAGACAGAAACAAAGAGGGCTGAGGCAGGATGTTTGCACTTAATCCACTCGCCCCTCCCCACAAAGGACAGCCTCTTCCTGAGACCATCACAGCTGAACCTGACATCCTATAACTTTCAGAATTTCTTCTGGCTTACACTGGAAGAGAAGTGGGCTCTGAAAGTGTGGTCCATGGACCAGGATCATCACTACTGTAGGCTTGTTAGAAATACAGTATCTCAGGGCGCCTGGGTGGCTCAGTCAGTGGAGTGTCTGATTTCAGCTCAGGCCGTGATCCCAGCATCCTGGGATGGAGTTCCACATCAGGCTCCAGGGAGTCTGCTCCTTCCTTGCCCTCTACCCCTACCCCTGCTTATGCTCTATCTCACTCTCAAATAAATGGAATCTTTAAAAAATATATTAAAAAAAAAAAAGAAATACATCATCTCAATCTTGGTCCTACCCCAGACCCACTTCAACAACCTGCATTGTAACCAGGGCCCCAGGTGACAGGTGTGACCAGCAAGATTTGAGAAGCTCTGGAGAAGGGAGCGCATTGGGCATCCCCAGAGGCAGACCAGCTGTCCCGGTTTGCATGGGACTGAGAGCTTTCCTGGGATGCGGGGCCTTTAGTGCTTAAGCTGGTGGTCTGGGAACACTGGGACAGTTGGTCACACTCTATCTCCCAAGCTCAAAAGGGACTGTCTCTTGGGGCTCTCTCCCAACTACCACCGCATCTCAGTGAGAAGGGCCATTAGTTCTCTTCTCCTTGGCACATCGGGAACCAGTTTGCTCCAGGATATCGTTGCCCCACTGTGTGAGTGAGCCATGAATGCCAAGAAAGCCCTGTCAGACAGAGCAGGTGTCCTCTGTACTCCATGATGGAGTCACAGAGAGGACTCAGTCCCTGGGATGGGTGTAGGTAGGCAGCCAGCACCCAGCTGTGATCCTGAAAACTCCCCCACCCTGCGCTGTGTTCGTGGTACATGCTTCTCTGGCTAAGCTTCTCACCACCTCTCACTCTCTTTTCTTCTCCATAGGTTTCTGCCTCTGACTATCCCTCCGTCTCTTTCTTTCTTTTTTTTTTTTTTTAAGATTTTATTTTTTTGACAGAGAGAGAGATCACAAGTAGGCAGAGAGGCAGGCAGAGGGGGAGGGGGAAGCAGGCTCCCTGCTGAGCAGAGAGCCTGATGTGGGGCTTGATCCCAGGACCCTGAGATCACGACCCAAGACAAAGGCAGAAGCTTTAACCCACTGAGCCACTCAGGCGCCCCCCCCTCCATCACTTTCTACACAGAATTTGGAATTTCTGGAAGTCTATGTGTTCGGAATGACTCTTCTTCTCCTCCACAAATGAACCCCATTCCGGATCTGCTGCCAGGCAGAGGCTCCTCATTGCCTTGGTGATTTTTTTTAGCAACCTGCACACAGCTGGATGGTTGGTGGGCACACACCACACAGCCAGTTAATTACAGCTGCAGAGAAACAGTGACCGTGATCGTGTCTGGAGATTCTCACCTTGAGTCTCAGCGGTGCCTCTCTCTCTCTCGAGCCCAGATGTTCTTGGGTTGCTGAGCATGCAAGTAGCACATTTACATGGAATGTACCCCTGTGCATACCAGCCCGCTTGCCTAGGCACACACAGATCCTACCCTGCCTCACCCCAACTTCCCTCGTCCTCTCAGACCGTCGGAGAGAAGGTGGAATGGCAATCTCTCCCTGGCATTGACCAAGAGGAAAAGACCTTGAAGCAAGTTTGTCTTAGAAAAATATATCCAGATATTCTATCTCCAGCTGGAACTTTGGGCTCCAAACATAAGGGCCAGCCCATATTTGGCACTCCTTATGTGTTTTTTAAAAGACTTTATTTTTGAGTAATCTCTATACCCAATGTGGGGCTTGAACTCACAATCCTGAGATCAAGAGTAGCGTGTTCTACTGACTGAGACAGCTGGGCACCTGTATTTTTTAAAAGATTTTATTTACTTATTTGCCAGAGAGAGAGTACACTGGAAGAGGGAGAAGCAGGTTCCCCACTGTGCAAGGAGCCCGATGAGGGACTCGATTCAGGATCCCTGGGATCATGACCTGAGACAAAGGCAGACACTTAATCAACTGAGCCACCCAGGCGTGCCTGTCTTTTGTATTTTTTAATTGGTTCTTATCCTTTGGATCTGGTGCAGCAGCCACCACCTGCAAGGTTACCAGCCTATTGTGCCCTGGGACATGTACAGATGAAGACTGATTTCTCTCTCTGCCCAGCACACGGCTTCCTATGCAGCCGCTTTCCCCAGATTGTTCAAATATTCTGCCCACCTCCTATAATGAGATGCTAAACAGATCTGAGCTGGAGAGGCAATTAGACTTCACACACTGAATTTGTAATAAGTTCCATCTATAATCATCTTAAAAGCATGTGTATCAATGTAATTGCTGTCATTTCAAAACCTTGAAAAGCCTTCCTCTCTGCTCTCTGCCTGTACCCCTTCACTGTCAACTCCTGTTCTCTTTCTCAGAGAAACTTTGGAAATCAGGCCAAAGTCTGTGTTGTAGGGATTTTGCCCCCTATCCCAAGCAGAGGCTAGAGTCGGGGCAAGAGAAAGGAAAGAAGGCATTGGGGGGTCTTGGGAGCACCTGACATCACTGGGGGTGGATGAGCAGGGAATAATGGAATTTATTTGGATTTTGGAAACAAAATGATATACATAGCTGATAGGTAAAATGGCTTAAAAATGCCCATTTGGGAGAGAATTTCTGACTGTGTGTCCTCCCATCCAGGGAGTGGACAGTATCTTCCCCCTGCAAAGGACAGAAACTGAGCGAGACCATCCTAGCTTACCCCCCTCCCCGGGATCCAACCCCCAGGTTTCCAGTAAATCAACCAACCGCACAACATACTAGTAGGGCACTTTTTAGGTACAGGGTTATCAAAGACACACAGAGGGACTGAGACCCCCCCCCCCTTGTCCACATAGCTAGAGACAGTGAGAACATGACACCCCGCGAGAGGCAGGCAGGGAAACCCACCCTCTGGTGCGTCACCCAGGTAGCTCCCAATCTCACCCATCCCACCTTCCTCTCAGCAGCTGTGGAACAGGCAGAGTGTGGGCTCTCGTGATGTCGGTCCGAGCTCCGCCGGGGCGGGCACAGCTAGAGGGGGTGTCTTACCTTGTTGTGCCCCCCAGCAGGCACCACCTGCTCCTGTGAGTCCTCACAGACAGCCCCCAGACTGTAAGCCAGGCTGATGGCCAGAATGGCTGCAAACAGTAGGGCCCTCCGCATGGTGCCTGAGAGGACAGAGAGACAGGACAGGAATGGGGGAGCAGAGGGAGGATACAGTATGTGTGCAGGTGCAGGAGACATTCTGAGACAATCTGTCTTGATCCTGCTTCCCCAGCCTCCAATTCTCCCATCTAAGCCCTGGTCCAGGGAGAGTATCTCTGAGCAGGATGGCCAGCCCTTGGGCTCGGTGTCCCTGCTCCCCCACCACACATCTCCCCACACTGAGCACCTGGCAATGAGCCGTGTTGCAATAGTCCTCCAAGGAAGATGATAGATTCGTAGCACATGCACAGGTCTGCCTTCTTAGTCAGCTTAAGGAGGGATCCTGGATTCTAGTTTCTAGCACCAGATAACCCAAGACTTAGGCAAAACTTTCTAGTATTAGAAGAATCAGTCTGAACCCACAGGATCCAAACATTACTCGTTCTCAACCCATATCAGCGCTTTCTGCTTCCCTTCCCTGTACCCAGTGCCGAGATCATAAGCTGCCACCTCTATTGCCTCCTAACCCTGGCCTCTGTCCTTTGGTGCCAGCTCCAGTCCCTCCAACATTCTCCCACTCGTGCCTACCTGTGGAACAGCTTTGAGCCTGGGGCAGGCGGTCTAAGAGGATCAGGGAGCTGGCCAGGAGCACTGCCCACTCCCCTAACACACACCCACACACACACACACACACACACACACACAGACACACACACACGCTGGTGGTATGCTGCCTCCGTGAAGAGAGAAGCTGGGAGTGGAAGGGATCTGAAGATGTGGCAGGAACTCCTGCCCAGCTCACAGATAAAGGCTCTGGGAGGGTCTGGGGGAGCCGGGGGAGGGGCTGCGAATCACCAATCCCAGGGTGGCTGGAGGGGAGGGGGGAGGCTGGTGGAGAAAAAGGAGGCTATAGGCTGCAGGCAAACACACACACACACACACACACACACACACACACACACACGCACACAGGCCCTGCAGTGTGCTCACTTTCCAACAGCTCCGGAGCTGGGCGCACTAAGGAATGATGTCGTGTATGTTTTGTACCAAAATGTCCATGCTGGTTATAGCTCAGTAGGTGTGGTCCCGGAGTCTCGTTCTCCTCATTGTTCACCCACCAGCTCCTTGCCCTTTAAACCTTCAGGCTCAACTGCCAGACCAGAAGCATTTCAGGCAGGTGCTTCTCTGGCCCTCCCACACCCCCGGGACAACCAGACACAGGCTTCTGAGCACTGGGAGGTGAGTCTGGCATCCCTTCCCATCCTCATTTCTCCCTCTGTCCTCCTTCCAGCTGCAGCTGACCCATCACTTGCTGAGGACCAAGTGATGGGTCAGCGCTTCTCCCCTGCTGTATAATGCAGAAGCTTCCAGTGTCTGCCTCCCTCTTCACCAGGGCAAATGCTTCTCCCTACACCACTCCCTCTCCAGCCCATAATCAGCCTGATTTTGTTGCATTCTTCCAGAGTTCTAACTTCTATTCCTCTTGCTAGAATCTCAGGAAGGAGGAAAAGAACACGGTGGCCGAGCTGTCACCACCACCACCCCCCATTCCTCTCCCTGGCCTGGCCCGGCCCAGTCCAGCCCAGCCCAGCTCAGCATTGATCTCTTAACTGCTTCTTTTTTCTCACAGTTACGTGTTTTCCCCTCTCTGATTGGCCTCCCTGCAGCCAGGCATCTTCTCCCTGGACATTTCAAGCCTCTCCTTCCTTTCCCACTCTGTTGAAGGAGCTCGTGCTGCTCATTTCATACCTGAGTTGGAGCCCCAGGGGAGAGTCAGAGTCAGAACTGGGCTGGGATGGAAGGAGAACTGGAAAGAGAAGATGGTGCTCAAGGGAACCAGGCGGGGGTGGGGTGGGGGGGGACAGCAGAGTGAAAGCAGCTTCAGAGCCATTATCATTCTTAGCATTTCCTATTTTTCAGGGGAGGAAACTGAGGCTCAAAAAGTTCAGTCCTGGGGCACCTGGCTGGCTCAATCGGGAGAACAGATGACTCTTGATCTCGGGGTCTTGAGTTCGATCCCCACTTTGGGTGTAGAGATTACTTAAAAATAAAAATAAAAAAATCTTTAAAAAGAAAGTCAGTCCCGTGCTCCAGGACATACAGCTACCAGAGAAGAGCCATAAATTCAGGTTTTGTTTGTGTGTTTTTCACTCCAAACCTCCCCTTTGTTTTACTGCACTGGTACGAACTTTGACCAGTAAGGGAGCCATTAATTCTCCCAGAGGGAGTGGTGCTCCCCCTCTCTGAAAGACCTGGAGATTTGGGACCTTGCTCTCTTCTTCTGGGGCAGTGAGGAGAACTACAGCCGTTGTGTATTTACTCCAAAGATGCTCTGCTCACCAACGTCTTCCCCAGTCACTCTACTTCAAACGACCGCCCTTTCACACTCCATATCCCCCTTCTGTTTCTTCTCTTCATCATTAATTACATCCCATATGCTAAATGCTTCACTTACAGCCTGTCTACCCCACCAGAATGTCCGCGTTCCATTGGCAAGGACTTTTGTCTGTTCTCTTTACTACTGGATCCTTAGCTCTATAGTGTTTGGCATATAATAAGTGCTCAATAAAAATTTACTCAGAAAACAGAAAAGGAAGCCTGAGCCTCCTTCTTGACTGAAGCCCACAGTGTGGATCCTCCGCAGAGTTTCTCAGTGCTGCTAGTGCTGAGATGCTAGCCTCCCAACTCCACACTCCCAACAGTCACCCACCCTGGGACTCGGGCCACACTGACAGAAGTCTCTCTGCCAGCACATGGCCCCACGCTCACCCCTGGTGAGGGCGGCAGCTGGGTCTCAAGGCCCCTTTATAATGTGAGAGGCTAGTGGGACCTCATTTAAAGCTTCCCATTATCCAGGTAATTACAGCGCTGTATGGGCCAACCATGGGCCGGCACCCAGGCTTAGGAGCCTTCGGTGGGATGAGGGGTAGAAGCTGGAGCCTGTTTACATGTAAATGTCATGGCGGGTTCATGCCTTTGAGAAGCTCAGGTGCTGATTCTAATTGCAGCCATCCCCTACCTTTTCTCCTTGCCATACCAGTCTGGAGAAGGGAGTCCAGGCTAGGCAGGCTGGAGGGAACAGGGGTGGTGGGAGATGGGGTGGAGAGCAGTAGGAGGCGTGTTAGACTGAGGGCTGAGAACTAAAGGCTCCTGGATCCCATCTCTGAGGCAGCCTCTCTCCATCCTCCCACCCCTCCATCCCTGCCTCCGCACCCCGGCAAGCAGGGAAGCAGGGCTTCTGCAAAGGTCCACCATGAATAATGTCCTTTGATGATGCAGCCTCTCACAGAGGATGGCAGGAGCTGAGGACGGGGGAAGCAAGGGCATGGCAGGGAGAACTGGAGAACTGATCTCCTCTTGATCTCTGGGATGAGCAGAGACTTGAAAGAGCTGATGCTAAATGAAGCCAGAAAGGTGAGGAAGGAGGGAGGCTTTGAAGGGCTGGGGCAGGCAAAGCTTCATGTTGCCCCCACACGCCATGTGCAAATGCCCTGTGGAGTGCGTGTTGCAGCTCCCGAGCCCCTAGGTGGTTTTCCCTTACACACTTTTCACTGGAGCCACATCTTGGACAGCCATCACCAGCCTAGAGGAGTAGGATCCCTAGCAGATCCTCCCACTGGAGCTCTCCCTCTTTGTTGCTGGGGTGGAGATGAGGCCAGGATAGTATGTGTTCTGTGGAGCCGAGATGGTGTTTGGTAGAAGAGGAGACCTATGAGCGTGCATTGTGATGCACGATGACCGACATATGTCCGCCACGTGCAGGGCTCGGGTGCAACATGGCAACTCCCCCAGCCTCCCGGAGGGGTGCTGCAGGGTGGTGAGGGAGGGCCCAGACCCTAGGCGGAGATACCAGAAAAGAACAGGAGGATGGCAGCTTCTGTGTCCTGCCAAGTCCTGCAGCCGGGCGACAGCTGGCCGATGGCCCTCAGCAAGGAACTGGAGGGGATGGGCTGAGCCAGGAACGCGGCGCCAGAGCTGCTGTGAGCTGAGGCGCTCGGATGGCTCCTCACGGGGCCTAGGGACCTACGGGGCCTAGGGGCCTCCAGGCCTGCTTGAGCCCTCAGAGAAACCACCCAGACTTCGAGAATGCTGGACTGGCCGAGCAGGAAGACAGCAGAACGGCAGCTTCTCCCTGCACGGTGGAGCCAGTTCAAGCCCTATTGCACAGGCGGGACAACAGAGACCCCCTAGAGGCTTCGGGGGATGAAAACCCACACTCCTTGGCCCCAGAAGAGAGGCAGAGATGGGAAGCAGGGGAGGGACGGATGGGAGAATAAAGGAGATGAGCCCGCACCCTTCCTCAGACTAGCATCAGTCCACATGAGAGCTGGAGGGAGGACAGGAGGATGACAGGGACTGCAGCCCTTCCCCCGCTCCACCTCTCCCCAGTCCAGAGAGCAGACAGTGCCTTCAGCCCTGGGGAAGGAAAGCAGGATGGGGAGCAGCAGCTGCATATTCTCCTGAAATTGCTTCTGAAAATGACCAGACACTTCACTGGGAAAGTGACGACAATTTGGGCCCTGGGAGCAGGAGATGAGGCAGAGAGCGGGGGCGGCCAGGCTCTGGTAACCAGCCCCCTCTCGCCAGACACGATCTCCTCCTTGGCCTGATTCTGAGAAGTCAAGGATGGGGCGAGCTGGGGCGGCAGGGCGGGGGGTGGGCAGCGGGAAGCTGACTGGGAACCTGAGCTCCCCTCTCTCAGGACACAGCCCCCCATGTGCCCAGGAAAAGCAGACTCCCTGTGCCCTCTCCCAGCCCAGAGCGGGGTGTGCCAGAACAGGACTGATGCTCAGAGAGCGAGATTAATCCACAGGCAAGAAGAGAAGTTAATCAGGGCTCCTGCAGGCATGATTACCTGGGGCCGTGAGCCGCCTGCTGATGATGGAAGCTCTGGAAGATCAAGGTAGAGGGAAACCCCAGCCTCAAGGCACAGGGAGCTCAGTGGTGGAGACAGGCAAGAGGCAAGGAAGGTAGGGATGGCGAAATGAGGGAGAGACATCCAGAGACAGGAACAAAGGCGGCCATCTGTACACTCTCACAGAGCACACATCTACATTTTATGGCAAACACAGGAGCTGCTTGTTCCCTAAAGGTAGAGACGGGGGTGGGAGAGGCTGAGACAAGCAGAGTCTATAAGGAAACAGATATTAAGGGAAAGGGGAGATATTCAGAGCATTATACAAAATATTACATATTGATATTAGTGAGAGCCCATAGAAAAGGGGACGAGATGGTGCGAGACAGTTGAAAATTAAGAAAAAAATGATGGCAGTGACCCAAGGGAAATAAATGAAGCGGGGGCAGTCCTAGGGGTGGGAGAGTCTGGGACCGGGAGCCTCCCCACCCCCGCAAGTGCTACCAGCTGCAGGCCCCAGCTGCTGGGCAGTGATTAGCAAGAAAACTGTTGGCAGAAGCCTAGCATCTCTGGTGTACAGAAAGGAAGAGGATGCTGGGGGGCACATGTAGCAGAGCCCAGTGATGAGCTGGGGGATGGAGGGGGCAACTCCTGGGTGTAGGGGACCCTGCATTCCCAAGCTCACCTTAGCTCACATGAGCCCTCCAGCCTTGGGCCTCTTTTCAGGCTAAATCTCCAAAGGATCCTAGTTTCCGACAAGACAGGGATCCTTACTTCTTCCCTCCAGGGACACACTTAATGAATCAGCCCGTTGGCCACCTGGGACCTGAGCCCCATCGCTGGCTACCCCACCCCCACCCCAGTCTCT